CTCCGCTCAGTCCATCTTGCTTATATCTTGTTTGCCAGATGTGTTATTTGGCCACCTCTGTTTCTAAGAGGGACTGAGAAATGTATTTGTAGCATCAGTAAGAAATTAGAGGATCATCCATGTTGTTGCAAGTGGCAGAATCTCTTTCTTTTTTAGGGCTGAATAATATTTCATTGTGTATGTATGTATAAAATATATCAATATATGTATAAAGGGTGTATATATCTCACAGTTTCTTTATCCATTCTTTCTTTGTTGGACATTTAGGTTGTTTCTGTGTCTTGGTTATTGTGAATAATGCTGCAGTGAACATGGGAGCACAGATATCTCTTAGAGATACTGATTTCATTTCCTTTGGGTATATATCCAGAAGAGGGCTGCTGGATCATATGGTAGTTCTATTTTTAACTTTTTGAGGAACCTTCATACCATTTTCCATAATGTAAATTACCAATTTACATTTCCACCGACAGTATACAAAGGTTCCCTTTTCTCTACAACCCTCACCAACACTTGTTGGTTTGTTTTTTTGTTTTTTTAGGAATAGCCATCCTAAAAAGTATGAGGTGATGTCTCATTGTGGTTTTGATTTGCATTTCCCTGATGATCAGTGATGTTGAGCACCTTTTCACATACTTGTTGCCCATTTGTATGCGTTCCCTTCTTTTTTTTTTTTTTTTTGCGGTACGGGGGCCTCTCACTGTTGTGTCCTCTCCCATTGCGGAGCACAGGCTCTGGACACGCAGGCTCAGCGGCCATGGCTCACAGGCCTAGCCGCTCCGCAGCATGCGGGATCTTCCCGGACCGGGGCATGAACCCGTGTCCCCTGCATCGGCAGGTAGACTCTCAACCACTGCGCCACCAGGGAAGCCCTCCTTTGCCCATTTTTTAATTGGGTTGCGTCTTTTTGCTGTTGAGTTGTGAGAGTTCTTTATATATTTTAGATATTAATCCTTTATTGGATATGTATTTGCAAATATTTTTATTCCATTAAGTTGTCTTTTCATTCTGTTGATTATTCATTAGACAGTAATTTCCAATCCCTTCCTCCTTAGCCCCTGGTAACCATTCTGCTTTCTGTCTTTATGAAGTTGAGTATTCTAGATACCGCATATAAGTGGAATCATACAGTATTTGTCCTCTTGTGACTAGTCTAACTTAGCATAATGTCTTTAAGTTTCATCCACATTGTAGCATGTGTTCTTCCTTTTTAAGGGTGCATAATAGTCCGTTGTATGTATGTACCACATTTTGTTAATCCATTCATCTGTCAGTGGACGTTTGGGTTGCTTCCATCTTCTGGCTATTGTGAATAATGCTACTGTGTACATCAGTGTACAAATATCTTTTTGAGCCCCTGCTTTTAATTCTTTTGGATATATATGTAGAATTTTAGGATCATTTAGTCATTATGTGTTTAATTTTTTGAGGAACCACTGTACTGTTTTCCATAGCAGCTGCACTATTTTATATTCCCACCGGCAGTGCAAAAGGGTTCCAGTTTCTCCACATCCTGACCAATACTTATTTTTTGGGTTTTTGTATTTTTGTTTTTTAATAGCCATCTTAATGAGTGAAGTGATTTCTCATTGTGGTTTTGCTTTTTATTTCCCTAATGATTAGTGATGCTAGGCATCTTGTGTGTTTATTGGCCATTTGTGTATCTTTTTTGGGAAGAAGTATCTATTCAAGTCCTTTACCCTTTGCTAATCAGGTGGCTTGTTTTTCGTTGTTGTTGAGTTGAAGTTTTTTTAATGTATGTTATGGGTATTAACCCCTTATCAGATGTATGATTTGCAAATATTTTCTCCGATTTTGTGGGTTACCCTTTCACTCTCTTGATAGTGTTCTTTACGCAAAAGTTTTAAAGTTTGAGGTAGCCTCATTTGTCTGTTTTTGCTTTTGTTGCCTGTGCTTTTGGTTATCCAAGAAATTTTTGCCAAATCCATTGTCATGAAGCCTCTCCCCCTTGTGTTTTCTTCTAAGATTTTTATAGTTTTAGCTGTCCTGTTTAAGCTTTTGATCTGAGTTGATTTTTGTATATGGTGTAAGGTAAGGAGTCAACTTCATTCTTTTGCATGTGAGTATCCAGTTTTACCAGCATTGTTTGTTGAAAAGGCTGTTCTTTTTCCGTTGAATTGTCTTTTTTTCGGCTGAGTTGGGTCTTCGTTGCTGCGCGCGGACTTTCTCTAGTTGCAGCGAGCAGGGGCTACTCTTCGTTGCAGTGCGCGGGCTTCTCGTTGCAGAGCACGGGCTCTAGGCGTGCAGGCTTCGGTAGTTGTGGTACGCGGGCTCAGTGGTTGTGGCTCGTGGGCTCTAGAGTGCAGGCTCAATAGTTGTGGCACATGGGCTTAGTTGCTCCACGGCATGTGAGATCTTCTGGACCAGGACTCGAACCCGTGTCCCCTGCATTGGCAGGTGGATTCTTAACCACTGCACCACCAGGGAAGTCCCTCCATTGAATTGTCTTGGCATCCTTGTCAAAAATTCTTGGACTGTATATATGAGGGTTCATTCCTGGATTTTCTATTCTGTTCCATTGATTGGTCTGTCTTTATGTCACTACCATATTATTTTAATTATTTTAGAAGGAAATTTCAAATTGTTTATTTTTTATATGGAAATACACTAGTGACTTTATTTTTTTTTAATTTTTATTTCATATTGGAGCATAGTTGATTAACCATGGGTTAGTTTCAGGTGTACAGCAAAGTGATTCAGTTATATGTGTGTCTATTCATTTTCAATTTCTTTTCCCATTTAGGTTGCTACATAATATTGAGTATAGTTCTCTGTGCTATACAGTAGGTCCTTGTTGGTTATCTACTTTAAATATAGTAGTCTGCACATGTCAATCCCCAAATCCCAATCTATCCCTTGCCTCCCACCCTTCCCCGTGGTAACCATAAATTTGTTCCCTGAGTCTGTGAGTTTGTTTCTGTTTTGAAAATAAGTTCATTTGTATATATTTTTTTTGGATTTTGTATATAAGCAACATTGTATGATATTTGTCTGACTTACTTTACTTAGTATAATAATCTCAGGGTCCATCCATATTGCTGCAAATGGCGTTATTTCATTCTTTTTGATGGCTGAGTAATATTCCATTGGATATATGTACCACATCTTATTTATCCATTCATCTGTCAGTGAACATTTAGGTTGCTTCCATGTCTTGGCTATTGTAAACAGTGCTGCAGAGAACATTGGGGTGCATGTAATCCTTTCAAACCATGTTTTGTTCTGGATATATACCCAGGAGTGGGATTGCTGTATCATATTGTAGCTCTATTTTTAGTTTTATCGGGAACCTTCCTACTGTTTCCCATAGTGGGTGAACCAATTTACATTCCCACCAACAGTGTAGGAGGCTTCCTTTTGCTCCACACTCTCTCCAGCATTTATTGTTTGTAGGTTTTTTGATGATCGTCATTCTGACTGGTGTGAGGTGATATCTCATTGTAGTTTTGATTTGCCTTTCTCTAATAATTAGAGATGTAGAGCATCTTTTCTTGTGCCACTTGGCCATCTGTATGTCTTCTTTGGAGAAATGTCTATATTTAGGTCATCTGCCCATTTTTTGATTGGGTTGTTTGTTTTTTTGATATTGAGCCCCATGAGCCGTTTGTAAATTTTGGAGACTAATCCCTTGTCAGTCGCATCTTTGCAAATATTTTCTCCCATTCTTTGGTTTGTCTTTTTGTTTTGTTTTGTCAGAGGAGTTTAATTAGGTCCCATTTGTTTATTTTTGGTTTTATTTCCATTACTCTAGGAGATGGCTTGAAAAAGTTATTGTTGTGATTTATGTCAAGTGTTCTGCCTATGTTTTCTCTAAGAGTTTTATAGTATCTGGTCTTACATGTAGGTCTTTAATCCATTTTGAGCTTATTCTTGTGTACGGTTTTAAAGGGTATACTAATTTCATTTTTTTTACATGTAGCTGTCCAGTTTTCCCAGCACCATTTATTGAAGAGACTGTCCTGTGTTGTAGAGTCTTGTTTCCTGTGTTGTAGATTAATTGACCGTAGGTGCATGGGTTTATTTCTGGGCTTTTCTATCCTGTCCCATTGATCTATGTTTCTGTTATTTTGCCAGTACCATACCATTTTGATGACTGTAGCGTTGTAGTATAGTCTGAAATCAGGGAGCCTGATTACTCCAGCTTCATTTTTTCTTTCTCAAGATTGCTTTGGTTATTCAGGGTCTTTTGTGTCTCCATACAGATTGTAAGATTTTTTTTGTTCTAGTTCTGTGAATAACGCCATTGCTAATTTGATAGGGATTGCATTGAATCTGTAGATTGCCTTGTGTAATATAGTCATTTTGACAATATTGATTCTTCCAATTCAAGAATATGTTATATCTTTTCATCTGTGTCATCTTTGATTTCCTTCATCCATGTCTTACGGTTTTCAGAGTACAGGTCTTTTGTCTCCTTAGGTAGGTTTATTCCTATGTATTTTATTCTTTTTGTTGCAGTGGTAAATGGGATTTTTAAAAAATTTTTCTTTCTGACCTTTCGTTATTAGTGTGTTAATTAGTAGCTAGATATCTTACTGAATTCTCTTGTGGTTTTTCAGTTGATTGTACAAATATATAATTATGTTTATTGATAAAATACAACTTTCTTTCAAATTTTATCTTATTTTTATCTTAATTGCATTGGCTTTAAAACATTGTTAAGTAATTATACTAGCTACATACTGTATTTTGTTTTTGATTAGAAGAATGGAAATCTTTCTAATATTTAACTATAAAGTTTGATGCAGCTTTTGGTTTGATACATACTCCTAAACTTTTGAGATTGACATAAAAAAGTTTAATTGCAGTTTGGAGCTTAATTGAAATTTGTAACTTAATTGCAGTTTATTTTTGCTGCTATTAACAGGAATAAAATGATGGTCTGAAGGTGTCATGGAAGGACTGCCAAGTTTTGGGGTTCATATGTATCACCTAATTTCAGAGGATCTTAACTAATTGATGTTTTCAATTTTTTTCAGAATGGCCAAAGTTTTCTGGTTTTGGATGAACAAAGATTTGCAAAAGAAATTCTTCCCAAATATTTCAAGCACAATAACATGGCAAGTTTTGTGAGGCAACTGAATATGTGTGAGTATGGATAGCAGTTTAATTGGAGTACTGTCATCAGTCACTGATTAAACCTTTTCCCCCATTAGGATGATAAAGGAAAATATATTCCATAGAAGCACCATTAATTTTTAAAGGTTTTACTTTTGTCTATTTAAAATTGTATTCAAAAGCTGAATTTTGAATCTTTTTCAGATGGTTTTCGTAAAGTAGTACATATTGACTCTGGAATTGTGAAGCAAGAACGAGATGGTCCTGTTGAATTTCAGCATCCTTACTTCAAACAAGGCCAGGATGACTTGTTGGAGAACATTAAAAGGAAGGTGAGCTATTGTTAACATGATTTAATTAGGGCATTAACATGTAGTATACTTGGCCAAGACATATTTCATTTGTTGACATTAAGAAGGTACTGAAATACACAGGTTTTCTTGTTGGGACAACTTAGACTGATAAAGCTTTAATTATTTTGCCCTTTTTTTTTTTTTTTTTTTCCTCTGCGCTCAACTGTATGGAGGGCTCAGTCTTTAAACACTTTTTAGAGGAAAGGAAATGTTTACATTCTGACTTAGGATAAGGAGTCATCTATATGGTGATGGCTCACTCCTTATAATTTAGCTTAAAAAACGTAAGTTCCTACTAGAAAGTCAGCTGTCTGGAGGGCGTTTTTCTTTAGTTCACTGCTGAATATCTAGTGCTCAGAATAAGTCCCTTATATATAGTAGGAATTTAATAGTACATTTTTGAATGGATAATATGTTTTGCTGAAATAAGATACTTTGACTAAATTCACAAGGTGGGGTGGGGGGGCGGTAAAAGGGTAGTGGACCATGAAAGAACATGGTCTTAGTGTGCTACTATTCTGCATAAATTTAATTAAAAGTGGAATGCAATAATAAATAGGCTTGGGGAAATTACTGGGAATTTGACAGAAGAAAATGAAAACAAAAAAAAAAGCCCTTAAGTTGCTCCTGCTTATGGAAACTCTTCCACATTAAAAATAAATAAATAAACTGACTATTCCTTATCCTCTCTTTGAGCTATGAAGTCTGTTCTTTTCCTGGGCTTTTGGAACTAAATCTCACTTCCTGGACAGGCTACAAAAATGTCTTATAACAGGGAAGTTTTGAATTATAATCATGTTGTTTAGTATTTGTTTAATTTCCTACATTTACTTTTTGAAAGGTTTCATCTGCAAAACCAGAAGAAAATAAAATTCGTCAGGAAGATTTAACAAAAATTATAAGTAGTGCTCAGAAGGTTCAAATAAAACAAGAAACTATTGAGTCCAGGCTCTCTGAATTAAAAAGGTAAAATATTATTTCCAAATATAATCCTAATGTGGGGGTTGGTGTGTATGTGTGTGTTGAGGTTTGTAGGTTGGTGATTTAAGTACCTAGATTACATTGTTGAAGCCAAGACCAAAAGCCTTTTTCTTAAGTATTGATTCCCTTTATTTTTTATTTGTAGCCATAAACTTTACCCCAATATTGTATTTTCATGATGGTACCGAAAGAATATATAAACCTGGTCAGTCAAAACAATTTGCTGCACAAGTGTTACTGAGGAAATAAGTCGTCATTAAGTTGGTGTAGGAAACTATGATTCTACTTAGGTTGACTTTCATATGTTTACACACATATGAGGACCACAAGCCGTACTACAGGGACTTCTCTGGACCCAGTGGACCCAGTGGACCCAGTGGTTAAGACTTCACCTTCCAATGCCAGGGGTGTGGGTTTGATCCCTGGTTGGGGAGCTAAGATTCCACATGCCTCGTGGCCAAAAAATATAAAATAACAGAAGCTATATTGTAACAGATTCAATAAAGACTTCAAAATTAGTCCACATAAAAAAATTCTTAAAAAGAAATACTGCATACATTACCTATCCTTTCTTTTATAGAAGTTTCTTAGGACATTTTCTATGTGGCCTATCTTTTAGGAAAAAATAGGACAAAAAAATAGGGAAAAAAGGACACTAGAGACTTGTCCTACTTGATACTTACTTTACATAGACTTGGTAAAGTGATATTCAAACCTTTATCTACAGAAAAGTGCTGTATTTTGTTTTACTACAATTTTTGGCACCATTATCCTAATGCCACAGTAACAACTTGTGTATAGAGTAGACCTATATTTCTCTTCTTAGTAAGTAGTTGGAATTCTCTTATAGTAAATAGGCGCCAAGGTCTTAAGAGTATTTATTTTATGTATTGTCTGTCCCATTTCAATTGTGGGACGTTAGTTTAGCTATTCTTTTTTTTTTTGCCATATGTGGGCCTCTTACTGTCGTAGCCTTTCCCGTTGCCGGACGCGCAAGCTCAGCGGCCATGGCTCACTGGCCCAGCCGCTCCGCGGCATGTGGGATCCTCCCGGACCGGGGCACGAACCCGTATCCCCTGCATCGGCAGGCGGACTCCCAACCACTGCGCCACCAGGGAGGCCCTAGTTTAGCTATTCTTAACTCAAGTATCTTCATTGAGAGTAACCTTGGACTTTGATTCCCTTTTTTAATAAGCCTTAATTTGAAGCTTGCTAGTTTTGCATGTTTTATTTAAGCACTTATGTTGGTTTACTCTATGTATCTTGTGTCTGTTGAAGTGCCCTTTGACCCAGTTCCTTGAATCTCAGATTTAGCTTTTAAGGAGTGGGATCTCGAATTCATCCTGTAAGTCTTAGTGGTAACCATTCTCCTACTTATCTTTAGTAGGCAGATGACAGTATCCTTATATTTCTGAGTCAGAAAAAGTACAGTAGTTATTCAGTAAGTATCAAAATCTTATTTTCTGTGCCCTCTATATTTAAATTCAGTCCCTTTTGTAATAGTTTGGATTGAGGAAGATGGCTTTTGTGTAAATTAACAAAGGAGCAAAAAATAGAGCATTTAATAGAGGAATTAATCTTTCAGGCCTTCTCAAAATTATCATTGCTGCTAACATTTAATAACTGCAATTTCAATGGAAGATGGTGAATGAAGGAAAAAAAACTATTACTGTTGGGCATATAATTGGTTTGTCATGTATTTAGATATGCTTTTAAAAAAACACATCTTTTAATATGCTTTTAAAAAACCAAACATTTATATGCTTGTGTTTGAGACAGATCTTTAGACAGTTTTAGAGTCTTATAGACTTCAGCTCGACATCAATACTTAACAAATTGTCTGTGTGATCTTGGGTAAGTCTTCTCAATTCTCTGAGTCTCAGTCTCCTCATCTATAAAATAGAGATAATTCCTTTCTTGACAGATTTTAGAGAAGTTTAAGTAATACACATAAAATGTTTAGAATAGTGCCTGGCATAGCAAATGTTGGGTAAATGTCATTTCCCCTTTAAGAATTGTTTCCTAAGCACAAGTCCTGAATTCACATGGTAGCCATAGTTGAAAAGTTAGCTTATTTTTTAAACAGGAAGTAATGAAGCAGATTGTCAGAGGAGTAAATGGCCTACTATGTATGGATGTAAGCATAAATCTTAAGTTTTCCTGCATACATTGCCATGAGTAGAAGATACTACAGTTATGAAGGAAGGATTCTGGAGTTGTGTCAAGGTTAGTTGCCATTCTGTGTAATTGAACCAAAGTTTTCCTAGTCTCATAAAGATATATAATAAAAACTAGTTCAAGTCTGGTGTTCTTAATTAAAGATATTGAGGTCTGGCTTATCTGACTGAATTTTTTTATTTTTATTTTTCGTAAATGATAACAGTGAGAATGAGTCCCTTTGGAAGGAGGTGTCAGAATTACGAGCAAAACATGCACAACAGCAACAAGTTATTCGAAAGGTAAGCTTTTTTCTCTGTGACTGTAATCTGCATTTGTTTAATGAGTACCATTTGTGACCCGCCCCCCCCACCCAGAAATCTCTGTGATTGATCTTCGTTTCTTATGTATTGGGTACACAGAAGTAAAACTATGAAATCAAACAAATTAAGCCAAGTGTTACATATTCTTTGTAATAAAAAAAATTTATTAGCTAAATGTAGTCATTCCATACTTCCAGATAATGTTTCATTAGCTTTTAATAAAATTTTTTTGCCTGATATAACAACTTTATTATACTTAGTTCTTAGGAGTATAATCAATATACTACCAATTTCTTAACATTTTATATAAAAGACATAGCTTTACTGTGTGGGATTTTTTTTTGTTTTTTGTCTTACTTTTATTCTAAAAGGCATAGATATGGTCTTGGAAGATAAATGACTAATATTTTCAAGTCAGTCGATCAAATTATGTGTTCAAAAATGAGTTATAAGTGTATGCCACTATTAGTTGTGCAGAAAAGCAGTTAATGTAGTGTTGTAAAATAAATCCTAGATTTTAATGTATGAGCTGAAAATTACTGGGGGAACAGAAAATCTCTCTGCTGCAATTGTGTCCTTGTGATTTAGTCTTCTCATATCAGCTTTCATATGTTAATAAGAGGTGAAACATAAAAGTAATTAAGGCAGCTATTTTTTGCTCATGAGTAAACTGGACTAAGTTTAAGCAACAGGTTTTATCAGGGGAGGGAGGGTGGGAGAGCTTCAGTTTGTTCCTAGTCAGAGGCCGTTAGCTAAAAATAGTGTTATGACTGAAAGGATATGGGTGTAGTGGAGCAGGCTTAGAACACAGAGATGAATGGTAGCTGTAGCCTTTGGCCCATAGTCAAAATAGGTATACTGATTTTTAAAAGTAAGTATGCAAGTGAAGGTTGAATGTAGGATTCAACTTTAAGTGTTTAGTCCAAGTACATGTATTTTTAAAACTTTCATATTTGATTCCAACTTGAAGCCCTGTTTAAGAATACCTGATTTTAAATGATAGGTGTACCTTAACCTGTGCTTTATTTTTAAAATCTGTTAATCTTTTTCAGAAAACAATGTTTTGGTTAAATATCAACTCACAATACTCCATAATTTGTTGGGTTTCTTTTTTTTGAAAGCAAGGATAGTTGATAAAATACTTATTTAACATTTCAGTTTTTCATGAAAGCTAACATTCTTTCTGCTCAGATTTGAGTTTGAATCTATGTGTTTTAGTGGGGTTAGGGAGTTTACATAATGCATGATGACAGGTAGCAATTTTTTCTCTATTCCTGGAATTTGTTTCTGATTCTGCCATTTACTGTTTGGCCTTGGATTAATTGGAATAATATATGGGAGGTGTCTGTTATAGAACTTGTCAGCTAAAGAAGTCCAATGATGTAAATGTTAAATGCCTCATCTTCTGCTTCAGGAAACGAACTCTACAACATAATGCCAAAGTGTCAAAAGAGAACTGAAATACACAGCAAATTTCAGGAGAAATTTAGTCAGAGGTTCATGTTCTTGTAAATTCAGCCAACTAATGTTTTAAGAATTTTCCCTAACACTTTTTTATAAATTAACAAAAGTAATTGGACTATTTCATAGATATCTTTAAGGTTAAATGTTGTCTTTTCATCAGCTGTCAGCATTTTCTTTTGAATAAGCAATTTAGTGGCTAACCTCCTTTTCATAGACTCTAATGCTGTCTCACTCTTCAACTAAAATGTCTATATTTTTCTCCATGGCAAAGTTAATACTGATTGTAAGGCACACCATTTAGTAGCCTCGTTTGGGGGAGAATATACAAAATTAAAGCTATACAGTGTGTATTTTCAATGGACAATTCTCTATTTTAATTGTGTAATTATATTTTATAAAGCTTGTACAAGGAACCCTTCTGCAGAGTCTAAATAGTCATCAGTCACTTGGCCTTTATTCATAACATCTCAGTGATATACTGCTGCTTTTTTTTTTTAAATAAATTTTTTAAAAAAATATTTATATATCTTTGGCTGCCTTGGGTCTTCATTGCTGCACGCAGACTTTCTCTAGTTGTGGCGAGCGGGGGCCACCCTTTGTTGTGGTGCTCAGGCTTCTCACTGCGGTGGCTTCTCTTGTTTTGGAGCATGGGCTCTAGGCACGCAGGCTTCAGTAATTGTGGCATGTGGGCTCAGTAGTTGTGGCTCGGTAGTTGCAGCGCACGGGCTTTGTTGCTCTGTGGCATGTGGGATCTTCCTGGACCAGGGCTCGAACCCGTGTCCCCTGCATTGGCAGGCGTATTCTTAATCCCTGCACCACCAGGGAAGCCCCTATACTGCTTTTAATAGTTTACTTTTTTAACTCCTTTAGGCAGTATAATTTCAAGGCATACCCTAAACCAGTTCTCACATTCATATCAGTATCACCTGGAGGTCTTGCAAAACAACACGTGTTGCTGGACCTCATCCTCAGAATTTAAGATTCAGCAATTCTGGAGTGAGGCAGAGAATTTGCATGTCTAAAAAGCTCCTAGGCCAGTGCTGCTGGTCCATGGACCACACTTTAAGAAACACTGTCATAAAATATGAAGGATTGTTTGCATGTCTTGATTTGTTTAATAGTCTTTTTCTAAATTTAATCAGACTTTGA